TAGATTTTTACATTTTTACAGGTGTATTAACCATATTCCATAGACAGATGTCATTTATAATTGATAGGAACATAACATTGGATGGAGTTAGTGGTCAGTTGGGTCAAGATCACCAGTGCTAAAAATAGATTTTTACACTTTTGCTCATAGAGCCTTTATTTATTGACAGATATATTTCATATTTGGTAGGAAGATAACTTGCATGGTATTCATCCTTTTGATTGGGGTAGGGATCAGTGGGTCAAGGTCACTTGTGCTAAAAATAGATTTCTACACTTTTGCCCATACAGGCTTTATTTATTGACAGGTGTATTTCATATTTGATAGGACTAAGATAACTTGCATGGTATTCTTCCTTTTGATTGAGTTAGGGATCAGTGTGTCAAGGTCACTAGTGCTAAATATAGATTTTTACACTTTTGCCCATACAGCCTTTATTTATTGACAGATATTTCATATTTGGTAGGAAGATAACTTGCATGTTATTCTTACTTTGGATGGAGTTAGGGGTCAGTTGGGTCAAGGTCACAAGTGCTAAAAATAGATTTTTACACTTTTACCCATACAGCCTTTATTTATTGACAGGTTTATTTCATATTCGGTTGGAAGATAACTTACATGGTATTCTTCCTTTGAATGGAGTTAGGGGTCAGTTTGGTCAAGGTCATCAATGATCAAAATAGATTTTAACATTTTTGCCCATACAGCCTTTATTTATTGACAGGTGTATTTCATATTTGGTAGGAAGATAACTTGCATGATATTCTATAGGTGTCAGTGGGTCAAGGTCAAGGGTGCCAAGTATAGATTTCTTACATTTATATATATTTGATAAAGTTGAATATTTATCACTTCACAAGTCATGGCAATGACTTGGCAACTTTTATATTTCACAATTACAAAATGCCATGACTCTGTCAAGCTATATAACTTGTGTTTACAATTTTTTGGCAATGTTTCTGTCCATAACTGAGTGAATGGGTAAACATTTTTTGAAATATTGCTACTGACAAGAATCGGAGCTGGGGGCATTTGTGTTTAACAAACACGTTCTTGTTTTTTTAAATGTTTGCATTCTATTGCAAAGTAAATTATTATATTTTGACATTAGGAAAAATGTTTGGAGTACAGTCAGAAATTATATTAAATTGCTTAACTTCCAAGTTTGACATTTGAAAATAAGAGGGTTCATTTGTCATGTAATAAACTCTTACATCAAGGAACATAGTTACATGCAACCTTGGTGGTTCTCTAACTTTAGGTACAGTAAGGACCTTAGATGTCATTGGCTCAAGGTCACGAGCACTAAAAATAGATTTCACTTGTTCACTTTTAGCAAAGTAAGGGGATCACTTGGGTTGATAGATTTTTACACTTTAGGCTGTTTCACATTGAATAGATTAATTTTAAATCATCTGATTATAGCAATTGAAAACTTTCCAATTTTTATAACATTAACATGCACTGAAGAACACATATACATAAATTATGTAATACCTACTAAATTCTATATTTTTGCCATTCTCCTTTTCAGCCTTAACAGGTAAGACATATCAATATATCACAATTATAAATAAATGTTTAGGTACTTGATTAATAAAAGATGTGATTATATACCAGCCGGGCTGGTTGATACATTGTCCATTTCAAACCATTTATTCTCAGGTGGGTGATTCAGTGCCATTATTGCCCTCTTGTTTTTTTTTTTTCGTGTTTTTTTTTAAGATGTTTACAAAGAGTAGTTGAATTATTTGAATGATATTAGAGAATTCAATGTCTGCTGAACTTTAAATTTATTATCATTGAAATGTTAAACAAAGTTTATACTGCCTGCTGTGCTGGAGTATTGTCTGTCTACCATACTTCTCCAAACCTGTCAACTTTGTCTACCAGTATATTTAAAGCTCATACTGTACTTAATTTACAAAATCTTAGGCAAACTTGAAACCATCTTACCAGCTCTGATTCATAAAATAAAAAAAAACTTAATGTCTGAAGTAAATTTTAAAGTCTTGTGCATGCTTTTAAGCAATAAAGATAGAGATGTGCTGTTTGAAATCCCCCAATGCTTCAATGCTTTGTCATTCATCTTGTATTTGGATTGTACAATATGATGATTATTAAAACAACAAGTAATAAATGTAGATAAATTATAGAGAATACAGTGATGATCTTTTATTTTATGTCAGGAAACACTATCACTATGGAAATGGATTGTTGGACAAAATGATGGAATGTTGAGCGTTCTATTTGTTCTCTTAATCCATGTTATAATTTAGAACATTATAAAGGCAGAATATCTAGGAGAATTTGATGTAATTGGTTTAAGTGTAATTTATTGCTGCACTAATAAACTGGTGATATCGTAAAAAACAAAAAGCGTTATTGATCATTTTGTAAGGAATTTTTTACGGATAGTAAAACTTCATGATCTTATACTCACATTCATTTGTAGTACAACTTTCCATAGCAACAGCCTTTGGGAGACAATGATTTTGATTGTAACTTTAGAGAGGTCAAGCAAATTGTGAAGTCTTACTGTGGGAAGAATTGAAAATGTTGTTATAAAGAGGTAATTGCTGTACAGAGGGCTCCACTCTGTGGAGGTTAGACTGTACTTTGCGCTCCAAAAATTGTGTATATTATATTGTAACTTCTTGGTTAGCAGGCTTGCTGTCAATTTAAACATTTGTCACACCTGTGTTATTAAATCAGAATTATATCTTATACTACACTAAGGATGTTGATATTTTAGATAAATTGTCATGTATGTTGTTACCATGTTTGTAACCTCACTTAATGTATAGTATTCAGAATTTCAAATTTTCAGAATATTTGATTCTATAAAATGCAAATGATCTGAAGGTAAAGCCTGCATGGATCCTCTTAGTTTCCTTTGCCTCCGACATCTGTGGATTTGAATCTTGGTTAAAGCTTTGTTCTTTGTTGATTGGCACCTGGTACTATTGGTAGTGAAGAACATTGTTTTTGTCATTATGCCTGGATTATTAGGCAGTTGAAACTTATTATTATAATTTTTTTCTTCCATTTTGAATGATACGTTTGTCATCAAGCACACTGGGTCACCTTTAAATAAATTAAGTTCTTTGTCATTTTTTATTGTAAACCAAACAGTGTTTCAATCAATATTTGTAAAGTAGTTGTCATATTTTCATTAATATATAATTAAAGACTAAAATTTTCATTATTCTGAAGATAATTTCGACATAAAAGGAAAATGTGTCACTTCAACTGGTTTGATTACATTTTAAATTGAATCTTAAGTGAACAAAGTCTTCATATATATTAACAGTATCTTGATAAATGCATTATAAACTTGGACTGTTTTTTTTCTTATTGAACAATACTTTGAACCATGACTAAAATGGCATGTAATTAAATGTAATTTCATGGCCTAAGGGAACACTTAATTGATTTTACAACATTTTACCACTAAATTATTGTATATTTTAACTTGCTATAATTGTGGTAGCTTTAACAAAATAGCAGTGTTGTACTGAAATATTTGTTGTCTTTGAAGTTGTATTGGTTTATTAAACAGATGATATATTGACACACAATATATTCTATTTTTTTCCAGCTCATTCAGTTTCATTTTGTTAATATTATAACTCATCTATGAGTGGCATTTATGTACAATGTCGTAGGTTTTATATTTGTATTATTTTAATATTGTACATGATGATGAGACTTAAATAAACTATCTTATCTTATCTTATGAATCAACAGATCAACAATATCTGCTTTGCTCTGATCTGAGAGGCCATACATTCACATTTATTATAATTTGAATAATCATAATAATAATCAGCTTTGTTCTCAAGATATACTTATGTGACATTGAATTATTTTATTGGCAAAACAGCATTCAGCTTTGTTCAAGATGTATTTGACTTTGAATTATTTTAATAAGTTGTTGTTTTTGTAAACCAATAATAATTATTGTATTAAAAAAGGTGAATCTTTCTATGTCAGGTAACTTTAGAATTCAATCAAGTACATAATTTAATGGATCATATAGGTACAAATTTATCATTTTACACTGACAATTATAATGAATGTATGAAATAGTAAGTATAACATTGGTATATCATAAAACTGTCATTACCTATGTGTAAAATGATTAACAAAACAACCCTGATTTATTTAACCATACATTAGTGATAGTGACTTGTGATCATTTGAGCCGTGTCACGACAAAACCAACATAATGGGTTTGCGACCAGCATGGATCCAGACCAACCTGAGCATCAGCGCAGTCTGATCAGGATCCATGCTGTTTGCTTACCAACCCAGAGTATTACAAGTAGAGAAACTGATAGCGAACAGCATGGATCCTGATCAGACTGCTCGGATGCGCAGGCTGGTCTGGATCCATGCTGGTCGCAAACCCATTATGTTGGTTTTGTCATGATGCGGCTCATTTATACTTCTAATTTAACCTTAAATTAGCCATCTGTCTTACAATTACCTTTAAATATACTGTAAAACTTTAGTGTTACAATTGCATTCCATTCCCTATGTCAGGATTTTAATTTTTGTGATTTTTGGAAATACTACTACAATATAGAGCTCAGTTTAATACTCTTTATTATAGATTTCAGCCAGTTTTAATAATTATTACAAAATCTGTTTTTCCTTAATCTGTTACCAAATTGAGAACAGAAACTTCCTGTGGTTTAAATGCATATCGTTATCAGTTATTTCAGGTTTTTTTGTGTGTGTGCTTGTCTTTATATAATTAGTTTTGTGTCATTTTTGTAAAAGTCACAAGTAAAATAGCTTTAAGGGAAGTTTTGTTATTATATGTGTTTTCAAATGTTCTTCAACGAGGGTAATTATGTAGTGGAAGAGTCATACACAATACACAATAAGTTAAATAATCTATCTCTTGACAGACTTGTGGTTTATCTATTTGTTTGAAGGATTTACTTTAGTTTGTTTGTAGATAAAGTTTATTTAGTTCAGAGAGATAAAATTCCATTTGGAGTTTTGTGATTATTTGTGTGTCTGTTGAGCTTTTGTTCTGTATGATTTACAGGTTTTTTGAGTTATTCTTTACACTGTTACCACATTTGTTCATGAGTTGGGATATATAAGTCGGGCTACAGATGTAACATAGTTTTCATGTTTTGACAGCATCATTATAAAATGGATAATAAACGTGTCCAGGTAATGTATTTGTAGGATAAGTTTATTAAGTAATCTTTCTTCCTATATTTATTTAGTATTTGCCAAGTCATCATTGTCGGTGATCATTTATTTCCTATACTAAAAGCATGTGAGTATTTGTTTTTTAATCAGAATGATTATTATATAGTAATATGATATCAATATTAGTAACTGATCATCTGTGGACATTTGTGAAAATTAATAATATTCAATTATTGAAGTTTGTTGTTATAGAAAATGGTTCATGATGACATATATAGATATTGAAGATATATGTTTGTCTGTGTCTTTAACTTTTCATCTTAAAGGGATCTTAATATGTATTCTTTCCAATATAGATAATTTCTGGTTATTTTTATATGTACATGAATAAATATTTTCTATATTTTATTAACTTTGGAATGGATGTGTGTAATATTAACCTTGTATTTAAAAAAAACTCAGGGCCATGTAAAGTTTTCTATTTTAATCAATGTGTATTTGTATATTACTTGATCAAAACCATGTGTTACACAGTAAAATTGATATTATAAATCAAACAAGATCAATATAATGACTCACTAAATGAGGGTCATTTGTAATATTTTATCTGTTATTAATTCAAGGTAAAGTATCTCACGATATGGCCAGTTATGTGTTGACGTGCCGTAAAAATCCAAAATTCATTTTGCTTATGCACTAATTTATTATACATGTTTTGATGTAAATATTAAAGACGCTAAATGACCTTAATATTTTTGATGAGACTTAGAATCCAAGCAACCAAGCAAGCTGGGCAGGTAAAATACACATTTACACAGGTCACCTTCATTAAAAGTAAAACACACATGACCTTGATTAAGTAAATTGCACATTTACACATGTCACCTTCATTAAAAGTAAAACACAAATAACTTCAATGATTTAGTAAACTGAACTATTGCACATGATTGACTTCTTGAACTATAATTATATATCTTTGACTAATTACAACAAGACTATTTTACTTAATCAAGGTCATGTGTGTTTTACTTAAAATAAAGGGGACATGTGTAAATGTGTATTTTACTTAATCAAGGTCATGTTTGTTTAACTTAAAATGAAGTTGACAATGTTAAAAAGTGTTAGTTTTCATTTTATTCAAGCAATTTAATTCATTATAACCAAGAAATGTAAATTTGTCTTATTTAATGAATAAAAATGTAAATCCTGAATGCTGCTGAAAGACTACATTGTATTATAAATTATGAAATAAATGTTTAAAAATATCTGTTCAGATTTGAGTTTGAATTTTATTGCCTCACAATTTCATTTCAGTCTTTCTCAGATATTACTATGCTTTTTATCATTCTCACAAACAACAACATAAGTTGTCCAAAAAAAAAGATTCAGTTATGTAATTCTTTTACTTTTAACAGCATCATTAATCTACCATGTGAATTTAACAAATCTTTTATACATATGATTGAGAATTATTTTGTTCTCAGGCCATTAAAGAAAATTGTCTGAAGTCATTTTACTATTATTTCATTTCCTATGTTTCTCCGCTAGCTGTTTGCTTTATTTTCTTGTAATAGCTAAAAATATCTAAAAATTCCAGACAAACTTCATATATAAGCAATCACTGAATAAATTCTGAAAATTCCAAGCAAACTCCCATGTATTAAAGCAATATATCTGGAGAAAAAAAATTCTGTAATTCCAGGAACATTTTATAGAACATAAGTTCAAGTTCTATGTGATTTAATCCAATCAGTTTCTGTATTTTTCCATTTTCTGTTATTGTTGTTGTCGTTATTATGTGCCTTTGAAACAAAAACAATATTTTTTTTTGTCATATAGGGAATTTCATCTTTAGATAATAAGGATTTGGAATGTTTTTGTTTATTGCATTTTGGTTCCAATGGGAGTAATGATTTATTCTAGATGTTTGTTTTGCAGGCAATATGGAATATGATTAGGGAATTTGGGAGATGATTAATATCTAGAACTTACTATACCTTATTGACTTGTCCAAACATTGAATATATGATACAAGCTCAAGTATTCTTTTATGGTATTATGATCATATTTATTTGCATCAAAATTTGTTTGGTCATATAGATTTTTATGTCCCTAGTTGTCCTGCTGGCGGTCCATTCGTTACCAATTCCACGTCTGCTCAACAAATTATATCTTTTGAACCAATGTATGGGAATTGAAACTACTTGGCAGAAATATTAAACGTAATGAGAAGATTATGCCAAAGCTTAGGTTTGGACCTCCTTGGATCAAGGATCACACATACTGTGTACAGTGGGAAAACCAGGTTTTTATGAACAGAACAGAACAGAACAACAATTTTATTCATGACTTGTACAATAAGTACATCATCACATATACAAATATATACAATATGCATAATTGTCACAGTGAAATAACATTTATGACAATGCTGGTTACTGTCTGTGATCAAAAGTTTTTAATTTTAAAGCATCATGCCAAACAAGAGAAGTTACTCTGTCTTATTAATTTTTCAGTTGAACTGCTTTTTTCTCTGACTATTCTCTATTAGGATTTCTACTGTCACAAGGAAATTATTTTGTATTTTATTTGGTGTCCAAGTATCATACTGGCATGTCTTAATTAGAATTTTTCCTTCTTTATTTAAAAGATGGTCATTTCATTGGTAACTTGATATTTTTCCCAGTGTCCAGTAAGATGGGCTTAAGTTAATATGGCCAAATCTAATTTCCATCACAGCATGGTATGTCTTTTTATTACCCATCCACATACTCTGTTGGTGTTAAAATCACACTTTATACAGGGCAACATAAATATCCATTTTAGCTTTCATTCCTTCACCACTCTTGTTTATCCTTAGGGAATTGTAGAAAAGTTACTTTAAAACAGATGGAGAAAAAAAATTAAAATGTATTGCATCAGTCTGAAACAAAATGTTCTAGGATGTTTTATTCAATAATAAATTATTTAGAAAAGTCTTATCTACAGAGGAAAGGAGACACTTTTATGGAGTTGAATTCATCTGAGTAGAATGCTGTTAGTATATTTCTGTTTCTCCATATTTGTGGGTCATGTGATTGTTCAATAAGAGATGTTTGTAAGTTTGAGGTGATGAAGTTATCTGAAATGGGAAAAGGAAATAATGAAGTTTGATTGATAGTCAAAATATTCATACATAGAAAGAGTTTTAGCTGAAAAGATATGATTATAGTTTTGTCATTCTTTCATTTTATTTTTTGAAATTTATGAAATGCAGGGTTTTCATTATTAACAGATTGGTGATCAATATCATCAGTAAAGATGCTGTTAAAATTGGTTGTATTTTCAGCCTGTAGCTTGACCATTGGCCAAATCAGTTTTCTTTGTTGGCACAATTCTGTTGCCTCACATGAAAACTTTTGAATGATGGTATTGTTTTTTGTGAGCATTGTGTATATAATTACAGTAGAACTTCTATAAGTCAAACTTCAATAAGTCGATTTTCTCTATGTATCAACGCCTTGAAATTGTGTCATTAAATAGAGACCGATTCACGAGTCGAAGTTCTGGTGTGTCAAGGTTTTTATGCAAATCCCTTAAACTTCAACCTATCAAAATTTTAATGTATTTCACTTTCAGTATGTAAGTTTTGGTTTCTTCACTAGATTTTTTCCTTTAGGTTTGACCCTAAGTTTTTTCCATCTGTCCTTATGAATTTTGGTAAGGGTTAAAGGTCAAGAGATTAATTTCAAGTGACTTAACTAACTTTGTGTACTTAGTTTATTATATTTCACTTTCAGATCACTATATATATATCTTGTATTACCATATGATCAAACACTGGAGATTTAAATTCCTCTTGTTTGCGTGACTAATCCAATTTGGTAAGCTGTGACTTATAAAGTGGGAGTAAACATAGATCAGACAAAAATAATGCATCCAATTTTGACAATTCTATTATGGGTAAAAATAAATCTATGTAAGGAATATTGTATTACTGATGTATAACAAAGGTAGGTTTGTTTCTAAGAATTTCATAGTTTTCATGTTTATTTATCAGAAAGGTATAATGTTAACTGTAAAATAATGCTTAGACAATTAACTACTGTGGAATATGTCCACTGTGTCATTTATAAAACATATGGTTGTCTATGAACCTTTAGGATTTAACAGTCTGTTAAGCTGGTCCCAAAAGTTTAGCTATATTCTGGGGTCCAGGTTTCAAGGTTTCAAATGGCTTGTGCATTATAGATTGAGAGGCCGTCTTCTTACTTTCCATTCATCTTAAAGAATATTATCAGTGAGTTTAAAATTATTATAGATACACATGTTTAATAATTATTGGAACTGATAAATTTGTAAATCAACAAGAAAAAAAATGCTTTTCTAATGATATGGTTGCATCATAATAAGAGGAGTACCAAAAAGTTGTCATAATGTTATTCCAGTCAAAAAATTTTGAAGCTCAGGTGCTAAGTGTTTGTATTGAAATACAGAAAATTTCCATTACGATACCAAAACACATTTGTCAGACACCGGTATTGATACTTAATATATTTTAGAGAACGTAAAACATTCAAGGAATAGCATGTAAGTATATAATTGTGTTACCACGGTAATGGGGTAAAATTAAATTTGTCTACCATTTAACTATTTGCATCAAAATTCAGTCACATGCACTTCAATATTCAGATCTTGTCTTCCGTCATGAAAGGATGGTATAACAAACTTAGTTTTAATTCCCAACCCGTACAAAAAACTCCTGAATTTCCAAATAGATATTATTGGTGAAGTCTATTTAATTTCATTCTGTGGTTATCCCAAGAAGTTGGTTACAATAGCTGCTTTTACAAAGTTAGGAAAATATGTTGAATGCCCAATTTAGATCTGTTCGTGCTGTTGGTAATAATGTTTGGCTTGACAGTATTCTATTTTTTAGCTTTTCTCAGAATGAAGGATTCTTGTATTTTTTTGAGTAAAATAATTTAATATTTATAAAAAAGTTTTATTATATTATAATTAAATTGATTATTCAGTTT